TTTTTCTCCAGGCGATCCCAAAACGCAAAGCAGTCACTGTTGGTGCCTCTTTCTCAGACCAAGAGTTCCAACCTGTCCATTGTCGATGGCAAAGTCCACGTGCTCAGGCTACCCGCCGACCTCGCAAGAAGCCTGTGGATCAGCCTTGTGAAAGCAATATCAGTAAGAGAGATGTTTGCTGGAAGAAATCTGAAGGTGGTGCTTGGCCATCGGTGGCTACTGTGAAAGGTAGCACTAACAGGTCTGTGTCTCTCACCGAATGGCGCCCCAAGTTGGAGAAAACTGGCAAGCTGAACCTCGAAGTGGCCACGTTCTCAGCTATTTTTCGATTTTGTTTCAAGATATGTTAAGATTGATTCCTTCGGCTTTGCAGTTTGTTCAGGTTCGAACTCGGCCGAACACCAAGACGAAGGATCTCAAGAGTGGGTACTTCTTTGGGAAGAAGATCTTCAGTGCATGGAGTTCCATTAGTAATAGCCTTAAAGTGTTCATGAAGGTTTTCAGCCGCAGCAATCAATAGACATAATTCAGTGGCACCTGCAGAGTCTTCCTTCCTACTATAAGGATGCTTCAAAGCAACGATTCGAGCTTCTCCAGAACCATCCAATCGTGGTATAGCGGCCGGGCCCCTATTTCTTTCACACCGGTTTCAGCTTGGAGTTGTTGTTGTTGTTGTTGTTGTTGTTGCTAAGAGTTGTGGTTGTGGTTCCTGTTTGTTTTGTTGTTGTTGTTGTTGTTGTTGTTGTTGTTGTTGTTGTTTTCTTGAAGTTGTTGGTCCAATTCTGCTTCAGGATGTGGCGAATCAGGTTCGCTGGTCCACACGTTACCATGCCAGCTGCCAATTGGCCGGGGTTTCTCCGGAAGACGGGAAGATCTTGACAGCTGAAGCTGCTGAGTGGTTCAGCGGTTTGCCGCTGGGTTGGACATCGAAGAAGGTTGGCCAGATCGACCGTAAGTGCTTCGACCAGATGTTTCCATTTGCAAGATCCAAGGCCAGTGGTTTTCTTTCTTCCTAGTGTGAATTTTTGGTCACATTGTGGACCGGGTCAGGAATCGAAAGTGCCAGCCATTTCGCTCTTTTCCGGCTGCGCTGCGCTGGAACTTGGCCTTTCAAAGTGATGGCCCCAAGTCTCGCCGAGTCTCGCCTTACCTTTATTTGAAACATTGATGGTGTGACTTGCGAATTTGCAGGGTCAATTTGGCTCAACTTCTTGTGAATGAATGCAGTGTTAATCATCATTGCATGTCAAATACACACCGCTGTGACAATGTCATTTTTTAACAGGTCCAGGTCTTGACTGGATGGCCATGCAAAACAAAGTTCAGTCGTCATTCGTGTTTCATGGTAGCACTGCTTTGCCCGCCTTCTCATTGACAATGGATGGCCAAAGCCAGAACACAGGTGTCATTCTGATTTCAAATTGAATTGGTAAGTTGTTCAAAAGCCACGTCGAATTCATGCTTCGTTTTCATTCATTGAGGACCTCAGGAGCCATCGTTGCGGAAGCGCCCATTCTGTCGTGCTGATGGCTCATTCAAAGTGGTGCCGACTATTGGAGTGAACCAAGTCAGGAGCAGTAATTGTGCTGAGTCTACCGCTTGTTAGGAACACTTTTTGAGAGCCTTTAAAAAGCTGTGCAGGATTGCGGAGGGCTCGGTGGTTTTTACCCGCTGGCATGGAAAGGAGTCAGTTCCCAAGTCACAGTCATGCAAACATATTTAAATAAATACCAAGCAGACATTGCCTTCACGATGCAGTCCATGTTTAGGTGGGTATGGAGCTGGCCTTTACGAGAATGGGAAGAAATTTGCAGCGAACACAAGGACAAAATAATATATGATTGTTGCTTTGCTGCTGTTATTGTTATGGCTTCGACAATTTGTTGAGGACCCTGGAGTCGCTGTAAAGAAACGCGCCGGCGACACTGCATGACTTAACCTTGAGATGTTTGATAAAATGGCAACCCACTAGCAGCGTTGTGTTGAGCCTGCAAGTTGATGACATTTTTGTACGAACAACAGTCAGTCCTTAGTTGACAGAATCCTTTGTGATCCGGTCTAAGGGCAATAGTCTCCACAGATTACGCCAGGAACCCATGCCATACTTTGGATTCCATTCAATCGACGCAATTGTGATTATCAGACATTTGTGTTTTTTGTGTTTTCGAGGTGGAGATCGACCAAGATTGTCGAGAGGTGATTGCTGCGAGAATGCGGGAAGGATATTTGCATCAAGCAGAGATTTGGAAAGACGTCTCCGAATTTCAAGCTAGCCCTGACACCCTTGCACAGGGGTGCGGGGGAGGCTTTCCTTGTCAGGCTGCTGTGATTTGTTTCATCCATGAACTCAATGCTTGGCAAAATAGACCACTTGCAAATTTGACATGTGCTTGGCAGGGAATTTCATGCGGTGGCAAGCAACGCGGGCTTCGTGATCCCCGCTCATCGCTTTTGCGTCATGTCTTTTGCGTCTTCGACACAATTCCTTCAAAGCAGAGGCCCAAAACCCTTACCAAATGTTCATTCATTAGTTGTTCGATGGAAACCCTCTTTTTTCGACCTAGCAGGCGGTTTCTGTACCTCGAGAATGTGAAGTCCATTCTGACCAAGCAAAAGGACATGCAGAAGGTCATGCATTACCTGGTGCAGGCCCAACGCCAAACAGCTATTGATTAAACAAACAATTGCAAAGAAACTTGTTATGTTGCTTCAAAGTATCGTTCACTTACCCTTTGAACCGCGAAGGAGTCAGACTTGTTGTTTATTGCTTTCCAACGGCAGGAATGCACACGGCGGAACTTGACCCTCCATTGGGTCAGCGATGCCATGGAGAATGTCGGGTTGCCATGCCAGAGAAAGAGAACGTGCTTTCTGGCCATTTTGAAGGGTGAGAAACTGTTCCAGGATTGCCCCTAACATTGTCTGATTTCAAAACAGAAATGATTGCCCACCTTTTGATTGAGGGACACATTTTTTGGGTTCTGATTTGTTCGGAGGACTTTAACCTCCGGCCGTTGGCGTCCTACATCACTTCTTGGAATGAATGCAACGAGCTGCCTATGCACCGCTGGCTGTCGGCGGGAATCGTCGATGATGAGCATGAATCACGGCTCAAGATTTGTGGGAACTTAGTTGTTCCCAAGTGTGCTGACTTAGCCTTGCAGGTCTTGGTCCGTATGCACAGAGTGTCCTGATACGCTTACGATGTTTGTTGTAGATGATTTGATGTTCTTTGCTGCCAGGAAGGCATCGGGACCCGGTAATTCAACATAACGATTGATGGCCCGTGTTTCTGCCACACGTGGCGCACCAGACCAGTGGAAGATCCAAATAGTAAGTTTGTTTTTGCAGCGTGACAGAGCCTATGTTTCTGATTTTGGAAAACATCAAGTTAATAACCAAGCACTTTGTTCAAAGCAAAAATTAAAGGCAAGAGAGGCCAAAGGCCAAACCGTCAGCTTTGCGGAAAAGTTTTTGGAGCGGGTCCGAACTTTCCAGTCAGTCAGCAGCACTTTCCATCAACCAATCTTTGACTCAGTAGTAATCAATAGTCGCCCTGCAAACTTAAGACTGTACAATCATGTGCATTCCGATGTGGTGTTTTTTGGTTCAGGACGCAAGGCCACACAATCAACGGTGCGTTTTTGGTATGATAGAATAACCCAACAAAACCATACATAATTTGTGTTCTTTAATTTGTAGCGTAGAATTTTGTGTACATATTTGGTAAAAATCAAACTGGCTTACCGTATCCTCCTAACATGTCATGGTTTGTCATTTTGTGGTTGTTACTATATATGTTGTCATCATGCGATCCGCGGATTCGTCATGGATTGCGAGGGGTGTTTGCCTCCTTCTGTTACGGAGTTGACGGAAAGCTCTGAGTCTGATGAGCCGGTTCCCACGAAACGATCCAAAAGGAAACGCAGTGCGGAAAAAGGCCAGAAAAAGCAAATCGATGACATTGTTGAAATCCAGCGCATGCTTTCCAAGAAAGTCTGCAAAGCGCGGGATGACTGCCGGAGTTTTTTCCGCACTAGGGAGGGCATGGCAAAGTTGCGTCAATTTAGAGAGGAGTGGTGTGGCCTTCACAAGACGGATCAGGACACAGTTGTTCCTTCCATTCAGCTTAGTATGATTTAACATGTCATGTCTTCTTTTAGTCATAATATGTCATAATATATGCGCGATTTTTTTGCACATTGATTTGGTGGGCCATCACTTTTTCACCCGTGGTTTTTCCAATTGTGTGCATGATATGCCCTGTGAGGTATTCCAGCGCGTGAAGGAGATACTTTGCAAGGAGAATTCTGAGGGTGAGAGAACTCAGTGGACCTTCTTGGGGCACAAGGTCTGCTTGCGATGTTGGAAAGCATTGCATGGCCTAGGATCTATGATTGATTCAAGTCAATCTCACATTTTTGTAAGGATTGAAATTTGATGAAATTTGTTTTGACTGTTTGTGTTATCTATTTTTATCTATTATTGTGATGATGTTTTTTAACGCAGCCGTTGTCAGGAAGTGGTCGGTTCAACCGCATCAGGGATGCGGTGAACAGTGGGGCAAGCGCTGCCCCCGTGGATCTTCGATACCTGGATAAGGGAACATTTTCCACAACGAATCCATCAGATGAAATCCGTGAAGTCCTGAGTTTCCTTGAGAAGATCTATTCCTCGGTTGCAGAAACACTGCCGGATTCTCGAGATGCTCCTTGGGATGACGACACCGTTGATCCTTACGCAGAAGCCATTCCACCTGCCGAACCTACCGAAGCTTCATCAAGGTCTAAGAAGCACCGGCGAGGAGTCCCAATTTGTCCTGGGAGGACTTCTCGTGAATTTGAGGAAAGGCATCTACCACCTGGCGCTATGAAAGAGTACTGGGCGCAATATTGCCAATCTTCTTCGGGGACCCGCGCGGCATCATTTCCAACCTTTTGGCGGGCCACTTGATGCTTACCACGTCATGTTTTTATGCAACATTGTGCGTGAAAAAGTTATACCATTTTCAATCTCAAGCTCACGTGGACTCCACTTGAAGATGTCCATGTTTGTTTGGCAATGTTTGGCAAGGCATGGGCTTCACACTATAGCTTCATGCGCTTCAGATCCACCTCGAGCCACGCGCAATGCAGTGAATGCATGAAGCATAAAACGCTCATAGGTGGCCTCGGCCACCACCTCAACGCCAGAAAGATGCAAACAGTTATGTTCCACAACCACCTCAGGGCTCAATTTGCTGACCGCTGTCAATATTGGTATTGTCGCGGTTTGAGTCGCAACTGCGGCTTAGACATCTGCGTGATGGTGGACGGCATGGATCAGCAGAAGTGTGCACTTCCAAGGCATCCTATCATGCGATCGAAAGCTATGGATGGCTTTCAGAGACCCCGAATGCATTGCTATGGATGCCTTTGCCATGGCCATCACTTGGGCCTTTACATATCAGAACCTGATTTACCAAAGGACTCCAACACGACTATAGAAGTCATCATGGATGCTCTCCATCAGCTGAAATTGAAGGGTGTCCCCTTGCACCAGTGCAATATAACGGTGCAAGGGGACAACACCTGCCGGGAACTCAAAAATGGCATCGCAATGCGATGGGCCAGCAGCCTCGTATCGGACTCGGTCGTCCAATCACTGAGCCTGTCTTTTTTAAGATCGGGTCACAGCCATGAAGACCTAGATCAGGCCTTCGGCCAAACTGCTGATTGGATTCGCCGACGCATTCCAGTGGCTCAGACTTCAGATGATTTGGTATCATCGCTGACGGATTTTTGCAAAGTTGGTTTGGTCCGCACGCACGAGCCCCTCAAATATGTCACCAAGCTTGATTCCACGAGAAACTGGCCTCTTGGACTATCGTAGTGTATAACCATGAGGCTATCACGGTTGCAGATGTTTGAAACTATAATGATAATGATGCAAGTTTGTTTCCAGTTTCCCTTTGGTCCAGACTTGAACCAACAAACCTTTGAGGACTTCAGATCTTTGATAAAATACTTGTATACTTTATTAACCAAACAAACCAAAAACGCATTGCCCGTCAGATGAGATTCAACTTTGTTGTTTCGTTGTGATGCAAATTGAAGATTTGGTAGCCAAAGGTTGCCTTCTGACGCCTTTTATGTGTTCTCAGCATTTTTCTGTGACACGTCTTAGGAGGGTCTGGGATGTTATTAGTCGAGATGCCTTCAAAGTGTTGTCAGGAGAGGCTGGTTATCGAGCTCTGTGCCAGTGGCCCTCAAAGGTATTGGGGGGCCTGGCGCGCCTCACATCATGACGTTCACACGCAGATGTGACACACCAGGTAGGGCATGTCGCACGCACAGAGAGCTTTATCAATGTTTCAATAAAAGGAGTCGTGGAAGATTGTTGTGCTCAGTGTCGCTTTTGAAGGATTGGATAGCTTGAATGTGGAGAACAATTTTTGGAGACCGGAGGGTCAGAGCCATCCTCACGATGTTATCCTCAGGAGTGTTTCAACCATTGGCTTTCCATTGGGATTAAACTTTGAGTCTGCAGTTTGAGCGTTGTTGGTTTCGGATTTTTGCCAGCCATGATTCAGGCAAGAAATTGTTTGACGCATATTGATGGCACTGTTGCATTGTTACTATGAAGGACCAAGCAATGGATGCACGAGTTGAAGTATAGCCACGCATTCTTGTTTTTGCCCCGCTTGTGGGCATTTAAACACCTGCCCGAAGGCCTTCCTGCAGGCGCCAAGTTGTATCTTTTAAGTTTTTGATTCCAAGTGTTGGACATTGATGCTGCATTTTGTCCTATGGATTGTGTAACCTCAGTTTTTGTTCGGCATGTTTTCGGCAGTTGAAGCGACGAAGAACGACATTGGTCAGAAATACCAAGCAGACTGCCAGAAGTACATTGACCTGATGAAACTGCCCGAGTATGGCTTGCAGAAGGCAGCTGAATACTTGGAGCATTGGTTTGCGGGCACTTGGCCCAGGAAGCCCTTGCTTGATCTTTCGGGGAACCATGGATGTATCGTTCATGACGACGCAATCTTTTTTGACATCATCTAAGATTGGATTTGAAGATTCATTGTCCTCAACACGATAGTTTGATTTACAAATTGTTGCCTAGATTTGCCCAGGATCCGACTTGGCCGCCATCGAGAAGCCAGTTCGCTGCCAGTCGAATTCTTCCGAACCGCTTCCTTCGATGTATTGCCAAACCCGTTAACGTTGCTGGGTTTATGTCATGTTAATTCCGAGGTTCAAAATGTCATGTTGTTTCAGAGTTTCATTTAAATGTGACACATAGTTTGCATCAGCAATAGATGCTTCAAGTGAGGCTTCGGGGTGCAGACGGACATTTGAGAGAATCCAAGCTATACCGTGAGAGATGCATCTTCCAAGCAGCTGCCCAAATTTGGGCTTCTGGTGTCCCATGGGAGAGAGCCTTGCCATTATCGGAAGAGGCTTTCAAGAAAAGCAATCCCTCGCCAAAAGGCAAGGGCAAGGGCAAGGCCAAAGGCCGGTCCAACAAGTAGGAGTCAACAACTAGCTGCCTCCACGCAGGAAAGTTTGGATGTGATTTACATCGATTATCCCATTCCTCATTCTTTTCTATGATTACATCTCGGACAACACCCTTTTATAAGCCTTTATGTTCAGAGGTTCGCATCCCATTCGCAAATCTAGAATCCTAATACGTTTACTGTAGTCGTTCAAATTTCAATTCCCAAAGCCCCAAACCCTAAATTGTATGATATCAACCAGCTTATAAGAACGGCAGCTAGCGAAACCCTAAACATTCTGGCATTTGGCGAAACCCTAAACCCTAAACGTTTCAGCATGGTGGTTTTTCAAAGGCGGCAGCGTAGTTCCAGCCAGCTGTCTCACACAATGGATGTTGATTGGTCACTCATTGAAGGATTGTTTGTTGTCAATTCGGTTGACGGATGTCACATGACTTCAGTCACTCGTAGCAGTGTTTTGTAAGAGTCTGATTTTTTTAATTTTTGTAAGGTTATATGGACGATATGGGAAATGCTTCCAGGTGACCAATGTCACCTCACTTTGGTCACTCCAGCTTGCTTTGTCCGGACTTGCCCGGAGTGACGGATTCCTGCCTTTAGAGCTTTCTAGCCTGGGTGACGGATGTCACCTGAGATTGGTCACTCAGGACTCTGTTTTCTAGGTTTGTTGTTTTCTAGGTTTGATGTTATTGATGAGTGTCGGATTTTTACTGAGTGTCGGATTTCTGTCGAGTGACGGATTTCCGCTGAGTGACGGATTTCCGCTGAGTGACGGATTTCCGCGGAGTGACGGATCTGGCCTCAGTGACGGATTTGGAGCGACTTGTGGGTTCGAACCAACCTTTTTGTGGTTGAAATGAGTTTTGGTTGAATTGTGTTCTGTTATGTTCTGTTATTTGTTGCTCGTTGGTAAAGTTTTATTTGCTTTTGTACCAGAATGTTAAGGATCCACGATGCTCACTACGCAAGCTGAAGACTGCAACCAGTAATCTTGAAAGAAAATTGCGCGGAGTCCTTCTCAAGCGTTCGTGAACTTGTAGTCACACCATCAGGTGGCCTAGAAGGCTTTGTTTTTGAGATGGAAAAGGTGGTTGGGCCACCTGCTGGCAAGGTGATTAGCTTCTCAGTCCACTTATTTTTGGAGTGTGAAGGTTTCAGTGTAGCGCCATGCCAGCCAAGCGCAAGACGAGCCATGGGAGCGCTGGCAATGCGCCCAAGGCTTTGAAGAACCATGTCCCGGACGCACCCATGGAATTTATTGGAAAAATCACCACTTGGTTTCTTGGAGCGCTTTTTAAACATGCAGCAGTTTTCAAAGATGTTTGAAGACAACAGCTTACCCGAACTTTCTTGAGGAATGTCGTGTCATGAGGTTCCGTCAAACCGTGCTACCTGCTGGAGGTGGAGAAGCGTACTTGAAGTCCAAATATCCTGACGAGGCCTACAATGATACCAGCAAATAAACTTGTGCAGGAACCATGTTTCGAGAAGTCTTTATAGGTTTGTAGATTTTTGTGGCTGTCAGGAGCGCTTGTTGGACTTCGCTAAGTGGATTGATGATTTTGCACCGGCTAATCCTTTGACTGGAACTTAGCAAGTTCATGTGGCAGCAGTCAACCCTTTATGTGTCATGCCTTCCAAACTAAACGCTTCCCGCCTTTACTTTGTGATTTGTCAGGAAGAGCTACTGCGTGGATATGTCTCATGGAGGTGTCATTCGACCTTGGCAATGTTCCTTCCGAGGAGATTTCGGCATATCAGGCATGGTTGACCCAGAGGTTGCAGAGAATCTGATGGAACTTTACCTACAGGAAGGGTCACTTTGCTAATTTGTAACATGGTCAGTTGGTTGATTTTTAGGCCACGGCAATCCTAGTGTTCACCCACATGGCGTGCTTTCGAGGTTCATGTCAGATCCGAGCATGATCGGCGTGGAGCAGGTGGCAGCCACGCAGGTACCAGCTGAGTTTCTTGAGCATAACTACACTGAATGCGGACCTCTCCTGCCCCATGGAGACTTGGCTTTAAAATAGATCTCAAGAATTCAGTCGTCCAACTCTAGATTCTGATTCAACCTGAGCATTGAAAGAGCTTCTTACTGATCAGGAGGAGATCTACTGCGGCCATTCAGTGTTGGATACATCAAGGGCTACAAACGGCGCTCGACCCTGCTGCTGACTATGCAGGGCATCCGTGAACTAGACCTAGTGGACTCGGTTTCGCAGGCTATTCGTGTTCCATGGCTGCTATTATGATTGATTGTTCAATCTGTCAACATCCTGAATTTTGACATTCACAGTCACACCATATATTATGTTCCAAGTCAGTCACGCCCCACCCAAAACTAGGCTTCGATGGGCACTATACATGTGACCTTTGGTGCCTTCAAGGATGTGCGAAGTCAAGTCATGGCAAACAGAGGCCCAATGCCAATGGAACTCCTACAAATTGATCGACTCATGTTTTTGTAGCTGCTGTGACGGTGCCCTATTGTTCGAGTTGTGGGGTCACTTTGCCAGGGGTGGCGCTGGCCAATGCAGCCACTCGGAGAGCGCCCCATTGCTTCAATCTGCTTCGCCAAGTCCGCATCCTCCAGAAAGCTGGACATGGCAATGCAGAGAACCAACTCAAGGATTCGTTTAATGATTCGTTTGTCATTAGAACCACTCCAAGCAGACAGGTAAGTTGCCAAATTGCATTTTTTGTTCTGATTGAACTTGAACAGCGGACAGGACTGGGAATCTGCGAGCGGTGTTGCCAGGGCCTTCCAGATCGGCAAAGCCGAATCAAGCGCTTTGTTTGCTTTAGTCAAGGAAGTGCCAGAGAGAATCCGTGAGAGTTTGGAAGCGATGGTCAAAGCCCGTGGCATGACCAAACTCTTCACCCACAAGATCATTGGCAAAGGAACTTTCAGCGTTGGATTCTCCTCCGGAACCTCTACATGTGAATCCTGGGCCGAACCACTGACGAACCTGAAAGATGATTTTTCGCTGGCAACTTGGCTGGCAGGTTTGAAAGTGTGCTAAATGGACCAAGTTTTTGTTGCAGAAGAAAATACTTGGCCAAGATAATTCTATGACATGTCAGGTTTCTTTGTATTTGGAGCGTCTCCGAGAGCTACATGATGCAACCCCTTTACCACTGAGAAAAGCACCGACATTCAAGGAAGCCTTGAAGATCCACCAGGCGTGCGGCTGCTTCCTGTTCTTCTTGCAGAAGTTCAAAGCCATCGTTCCAGAGAAGGAACTTGCTGAGATGGAGCGCGGCCTGCGCTCTCAATTCATGAGCGGTTTCCTGGATGGTGACCTTTTGCACGTCTTGGAGGAGCAGGTCCCCTTGAGCGCAGACATCAAAGCTGTCGGGGCTTTCAGGCAGCTCAACATTTGAAAGCGTTATGAAGCTACGAGTAGTTTTTATTTCAAAGCATTCAATCTTCCAGTCAACCAGTCATATTCCGTACATGCGTTGGTTTCAAGCCTACGCCAGGCCTTTTGTGACGCAGGTCGAGCAAGGGCGGATTCGTGACAAGGAGGCAGCTGCACAGGCCCTAGCCAAGCAAGTGGCTTCGGCGCAGTACGCGCAAGTCGAGGCCATGGTCAAAGCCGACATGCAGATTTTGAAGGATAAGCTGCCCGGCAAGGACGATCAGGCAATCGAGAACGCAAAGAATCTCAAGTACATGAAGGAAAGGCAAGCGATCCTTAACCTTCAAAGTCAGCAAGTTGTTATAATTGTGCTTTGCGAGGTGGTCCAAGCAATGGTTACTTTCATCATGTCGTTCAGCAAGTGTTTCAATTTTGCTTTTGTCAAATCAAGGAAAGGCAAGGACTACGTGGACCAGTACTTGCGGGACAATTGTCTATTGATTGTGCCTGGAAGCGACTCTATTGCCGACGAAATGCCTACGATTCTGCGATTTGTGGAGAGCTTCCGTGGTGTGGCAGGAACTGTGCAACCTGACATATCCGTTTCGTAAATTTTTGTTATAAGCCGCCCAAACAGCTCGATAAACATGTGGAAAATTTCACACATCAAAGTATTTGAGTGACTCCTGTAACCTGAGGTATGTGGTGGCTTCCATGGACATGACAGTTTATCCTGCAAACTCAGAGTTGGTCCGGTCGGCGCACACGCTACTCAATGCCATATGCAGCATGACGCCGAATGCTGCTGGTTGGGTGCAGCTACCAGTGCATCAATCCCAAACAACGCAACATGCGTTGATTAAGCGCCGGCAAGCCTTGGAATCCACTATGCTGAACTCCAAGCAGAATTTGTCACGAGAAGTGGTTATCTTGTTCTCAAAGCCCGACAGCAACAGCCGGGATGGCCGCAACATGGCGCAAGGTGCCATATTGACAGTCCACCAGCAGTACCACAACGAGACTCCCTGGGATGCCAGCTCAGCTGTTGAAGACGGCCGGCTCGGGCCATGTGACTTGGTCAAGGTTTCGGACCTGATCGGGTACGATGATGCTACCCGTCCAGGTGCTTCGGCACGCGCGGAACAGAAGCTGGGAAGCAGATTTTAAGGAGTTGATTGCAACACTTTTGTTTTTGATGTTGTTTTCAAAACTGAAATGATCATGTCAAATATGGTCAAATTATGCTTTGAATCAGGAAGGGGGTATCATGCCACCAGAAGATCATCAGTGGCCTCGTTCAGGGCATGGATCTGAGACCTGCTGATCGCTTGATTTGGGTGGACATTATCCCCAACAGGCCTGGGGCTAGTGATGTTTACTTTTATAGAAACATATAGAAACTTTGAGATTTAATTATTTGGCTTACATGCTTTTCTTTCCTTAAGACTTTTAATCCTATGATCCCGTGAGGCAAGCGGAATTTGGGAGAGCCTGCCTTGAGATGCAACTTAAGAGTTCTGCCATTCCCGTCAAGTACTGCGGGGTGCTGAAGGGGGAGAACGTGGCTGATTTGCGCAGCGCTTTTGAGAGTGCTGTGTATGACCACTGGGATGAACATCCTACGTTGGCGCCTCCCCGTGAACGGCCTACCACCGCCCCAAGTACGAGACCAGACTTGGGCCTTGAGGTGCTTTCTATGCAGGGGATGCATCCGATCTTCCCGGCAGAGGTCCTGTTGAATCGCTTTTCGGAAGGCTCCGAAGAACGCACTTTGGTGAAGAAGTTGCAAAAGGAGTTTGAAGACATCTATCCTCCGCCTGCACCAGGGACGAACACCCAGACTCAAAACAGCTCCTCGTTGAGTATGAGCGCGGATTGTGACTTCTCTGATGGCCACCTCCCGATCAACCCGCGCAAGAACATTGAGCTGCAATGCATCCCAATCTCTGACTTTCGTGCTGAGAGGCTGCTTTGACTGTTCAGAAGGTTACTTTTGGTACTTTTGATATTATTGCCTGCAATCAGTTTGATAGAGACTTCAAACAATGACACATGTCTTTGTTCAGCATTGAAGAGTTTTTGGACAACACTGACAGGCTTGGAACTTCTGTGGGAAAGGCTGGCAAGCCGACCCTGGCGATTTGTAAGTCCTTCCATGTGTGGCTCCTGAACCCCGGCACTGAAGCAATGTCAGTGGAGCCTGGTGAATTGTTTGGGTTTGGGACTGGAGCATATGCGACCGTTGTATTGAGCCACTCGTTGATGTTTTGGCCTTTTGGTAACCATATTGGGTACAGCTGATTTCCTGACAATCTATTTGGTTATAGTCTAGAGTTGTTGTCCGCTGTCCTTTCCAATTTCCCATGCTTCAAGTTGAACATGTCGAGGCGAAGATACTGATCCCACTGGACCCGCTTGGGTTGTGAAGAACGATCTTCAACTTCTCAGTTTGGCTCCGACAAAGGAGGCTTCGCCGATGTGCAAGATCCTGCGCAGTCTTGCCGTGGAGAGGGCGCTGACGGTCGACGTGGAATACCATACCGTGATTCCAAAAGTCACACCTGTAGAGGAATCTCGAAAGCAGTGATAAAAGATCAAAGCTAGTCAGAAGTCAGCATGTCAACAAGTTGTTACTGTTGTTGAATGTAAAGTTTGGTGGCTTAGGAAGGCAGCGCGCCGATTCCGGTCAACTTCAGGCAGATTTTCTGAGCAACATTGAACCTTTGTTGTTGCTGGTTTCAAATTTTGCGTATCTAAGTGAAATAATTTGATTGGCGTTCTGCAGGTGGGATGTTGCCCGCTTGACCAGCCTGAAAACTTGTGTGTACCGCCCCAACGCCTTGGATGCCAACGAGAGGAAGGACATCAAGAAGCGTTCACTTGGTGGAGTATTTGCAGGAAACTACCATAAGGTCCCACAGAATGCGAATGTCAGCTTGATGTGGGAGGTGCCTTCTTTACGTTTATAGTGCAAAAGGTTCTCGCTCCTTTTCTCATTTGTTTGTATCAAACCGTAGGTGCTATACACCAGCTCGCCTCCCAAGTTGCAGCCCGTGAAGCCGAAAGTGTACTTGCTTGGAAGTTTGAACATCCCTCCTGGATGTTGCGTTGATTTGTGCAGCGCATGATTTTGTACTCAGAAGATCCAACCAGACGGTAACTTGAAGCCTAGAGTTCGAGCTTTCTTGGCTTGGATATTGCCTAGAGTTACCAAACCGGCAGTTCAGCGATTGCGAAAAAGGATGCTAGAAGTTGCCACTTCCAAACATGTTTAATTTGTGATTTATGTTGTCTTTCGAATGGCCGGTCCTAAATGGTAACAGCCGAAATCTGAATCAGTTTCAGAATTGAATAATTCTTTATCTTTGAGCTCAATAGCAGCGCCCGTGCTTCGTTGTGCAACTCTCCAGACCGATCGGTCGATGCCGGTTTTTGCGGTGGTCAATGAGCTCACTGATTCTTCAGAGGATTGCTTTTTGAATCAGAAATTGTGTTGAAACCATTGAGTTGAGGGCTTATTACTACTTGGGTTTGTTTGTCACTGCAGAGGAGAGACAGGGCGATGAAGGCCCGGGCCCTAAGCCGCCTGCGGTGATGCCGAAGTCCAAATCTAAAGCCGCTGGTCCAAAGCCCCAGCCAAAGAAGAAGCCTGATGCAAATGAACTTGCTGCTGCCAAGAAGGTGCTGCCTAGGAAGAGGCCTGCTGCCAGCATGGCAGCTGCTGAGGTCCCAGAGGTGGCAGACCCACAGGCAACTGCGGCTGATTCTGATGTGAATGTGAAGAAGAAGCCTGCCGCTGCCAAAGCAGCATCAGGCTTGAAGTTTATTGCTGACGGTCCAACTTCACTTACTTTTTTTTCAACTTCAGGCTCAACCTTACTTTTGAACTTGATAGCTTGCAGGTTCGCAGAAGCAGGATGATACAGTTTGTGCCCCCTGTTGGTATAAGAATGGACATTGCTGGGGAGTCAAAGTTGGATCAAAGCAAATCTTTTCAGTTCCTTGTCTTAAGTTCGGAAGCCTGAAGCCTCATGCTGTTCACACACGTTCAAAAACTACAAACCTCAGGTTGGAGGAAAGCGAATTCCACAGGAGAAGTCGCTGGAGATAGCTCAGCTCGCAGCAGATCGCCTTCGCGCAGGTGAAAGCCACGCGAAAGTCCGCATTATGGTGGCCACTTGCCCCAAGAAACCACATGTTGATTTTACAAAGCCTTGCAAAAAGAAAACTTTGAAACTTTGAAACATTATTTTCAATGTTAAGGATGAGATGAAGCAGGCTTTGCGCAACTTTGCTGGGAGTGGGGATGACTCTGCTGTGCAGAATGCGATTGCCAACTTGAAGAAGGGTGGTGAAGACCATGCTGCCGTCCCCCCAGATGACTCCCAGCCGGCAGGGCCACCGACAGCAGAGACTAAGACTGAGCCGCCGATTGAAAACGAGGAGGATGAGAAAGAGGGCAACAACCTGGAGTCTGAAGGCTGCGAGGAGGAGGAGTGTGCCGAAGAGGATCCCACTGTGGACAACTAAAGAATCACGGCTCACTCTGTGCGCTAAGTCGTTTTTGACTGCTCCAACACGGGCATGTAGTTTGAACTCTCCATGGCAATGGTGGCAGAAAAAGTGCTCGTTGCTGGCAAGTCTTCTTAGTTCGGTGATTCTTTCATGAGCTTTAGGATGGACATGTCGTGCAGTAAGATTTCAAGTCGTTACAGTATATAACAGTTGTCATGGTGAAGGCGATGGAGTTCCATATTGCATATTCGTCCTTGGAGGCTTGCGCTGTTAGTGATGTCCTGTTTTTGGCAAAGTGCTTCAAGTGACGCAGTGTGCTACCTTCCAAGAATCTCTAATTGTGTTATTTTTGAGGCCTAAGTGGTGCTTCCATGGCAGGGTTTTGGAGGACGGCTGGCTTACTAATTGAATTCATTGTGAATAAACTTTTCGGAATGCATCGTATTGCGGCAAAGGTGAATGTCGTGACAATCATGAGCAGCATGTTTTTGGCACAGGCATCGATTCAATAATAGGAGGTCAGTCTAAAGCCTTTTGCCATGACCCCCGCCGCAACGCTACCGCGATTGGAGTCCGCAAATGTTGGGGGAGGACAAAAAAGGCCTGCTGATTCCGATGCAGAAAATTCTAGGCCTGCTCTTCGACGGCTCAGAGTCTTTGAAGATGTTCCAGACGACCTGGCTTCGGATGACCAATACGATCCTCCTGCGCTTTTTGAACTACCTTCCTGGCCGATCATTTACACGAAAGGTGAGGTGAATCAGATGGCATTTTTTGCAATGGACGTGGGCCACAAGGTGGTTCTTCGTTCCAAAGGGCCCATAGACTTTTCGTTCGAACACTGCGATTGTGGATATTGTGTATGTGGCTGTTTCGCTTGTCAGGGCAATTCAGCTTTGCCGAAGGCGGATGCCAATGGTGATCTACAAACACCAGCAGTGCCTGCAGCAGCTGCTACCCAGGGTGAGGAGTGAGATTTGAGCTGCTTTGAAGATAGAAGATTCGGAGAGCCAGTCCATTCACAGCACGATGCAACATTCAGCATGAGGGGTTCTTAATTAGACACCCAGTGTTTGATTCACCCTGGACGAATTTATTCCTTGTGACAATGAAATCTTAAGGGGCAAAACCATCATCATAGAAACTCAAAGGTGAGTCAAATTGACACTGGATATTTGCAAAGCCCCTTTGTCGCAGCGATGTCTTCACTCGTTGCAGTGAGGCTTAGAGTAGTCCTTAGATTGTCATTTTGGAAACCAATCTCAGAGCTCAGCGCCGTATGTGCCTTGCAACTTTCAAAGCCGAGTGAGAGTTGCTTCGATCCTGGATTGATAACGGCGATGCCGTTTTGCTGAGAACCTGATTAGTGAAAAATGTTGCTTTTTGCAATGCAAGGTTGAGATTATTTTTTGGGTGGAAACTTGGGAAAAATCACACACATTAAAATCAGAATCGTTCAACCATGCAGTGACCTCCTCGGCCAGGACCGGCCAATTCCTGAGCGTAGTTAGTTGTATGGCTGCGCAGGGCTCCGTTCACAGTGTGTGAAGCTGACTGCAAAAAGCAGCCGTAACAGAAAACCGAACCACTTCCGGAAGTCATGCTGTGGACTCGTTCCACGCATTGAATGCAAGTTGGAGCGGTGACGGTGTGGAAAGCTGAGATGAAGACACATTTTTTAATTACACGCGCACGCGCAACAAATATATATCATACCACATATGACTCATAATAATTGTGGGTGCACACTGAATAGAATATTGTCATACCACCCTGAGAAAATATATTGTAGATAATATGAGATTAGTAGTCGGCTCAAGAATTCTTTTGGATACTCTGGCGTTCTTCAGATTCAGCAGTAAGCCAGAAGGCTTCAAGTCAGAAAGTCAACAAAGGCATTGAAACACCGAATCATGGTGGAACACCAATTCCAACGAAATAACCTAGTTTGCTTACGGATTCGATGGCAGCCCGAAATGTCACAGAGATGTCAGGGTTGTTGAGAAGATTGAGACACATAGACATTCGAATCTGTTTTTTACAAGATGCAGTATACAAGGGAGTGATTTCCATCAGCTTTGTCCGAGGTACCGAGAATTGTGCCGACTTGATGACCAAGGCATTGTCGAGAGCTGTGACTTTGCAGCATATGGAGACGATCGGAGTTGTCAGAGCATTTCTCATTTCATTTGAAGTGCCGTATGACTGGATCGGGAGATGGTTGTGGGTTATGGATAAGGTCACATGTACCGAAATCCTGATTGTTGAGTTTTGCACATCACCGGAGTCCGAGATGAAAGAAGTCGGAAGCCGTACGGAAGGTGTTGAAGTCTTGACTGTCACTGAGGCGGATGATGGAACCCGACCGGACACGATCGAGTCAGTTCGGGAGCAGATGATAAGCCATCGGAAGAGAGGAAAGCTTGTTGTCTTGTGGTCGTCGATTCCGTGTACAGGAGGATGTCCGTTTCAGTACATGTGTATCAAGAAGTTTGGTCAGGACTATATGGGTCATCTTCGAGAGTTGTACCAGATACAGAAGAAGCTATGGAAAGGTTTCTTACGAATGTCGGAAGTAGCCGATTTCGTAGCGATTGAATGGCCGAAGAGATGTGCTTATTATTGGGGATGGAATCAGACTAAAGATTTTCTGAGGAAACGAAAGACGTTCTCAACATTTGTGGATGCTTGTTCAGTCAAGTTGAACCAGAAAGGTCAGTTGGTCAGAAAGACCTGGAGGATTGAGACAGATAGTACTCGGTTGTTGGAAAGCCTGAAGGTTTGCGTTTGTGATGGTCGTCATGATCATTTGCCGTCCAAGGAAGTCAATTGGAAGGAAACGCAACACTACCCCAGGAGATTTTGCGAGCTAATCCTTAAAGGATTTAAAGCCGAATTAGAATCATAATAGCCAAGTAAGTCTTGCACGTTGTCTGAGCCGAATGGCACGTTTTTGCGAGCACTTTCGATTGCACATTTCGAAAGAATCTTGGTTTTGCAGACTGCGAGATACAGCTTTTCTTGGAATGAAGCTTATACCATCCGAGGTATGATGCCGGATGCGGAAACGGCGCTTGCGATGCTGAGCCTGGAAGCAGCGACCGCTTTGGTCTTTGCAGCCGGTTTTCTTTTGGGATGCCTGCTGACCTGCTGCTGCCTGCGGTGTCGGAAGCATGCTGAGCCTGAGAGCCAGGTGACTTTTAAAGTCGATATGCCGAAGAGCTATCCAGTTCCAAAAGGCATTGAGCAATGCTCAAAAGTATATTTTTCAGTGAGTGGGAGCAAGGTTCATTTGAATCCAACTTGCTCGGGCATGCACGTACCTATGTCGAAAGATATTTGTGCCAAATGTCTGTCCTCATTGAAGAAGAATAAGAAGGCTTAAAGCCAGCCAGTTCGTTTCGAGCTTTGTGTCCAAGAGGGGGTGAAGAAATTCCATGTCGGGATGTCCACCTCGCTCGATGCTTGCAGTTTGCGATGCATAAATTTCGTTTAAGTTTG